GACTTTCAGTTTTTTACTAAACAAATAAGTTGTGAGTCGAGAGTTTTACAGTGTCAATACTAATCTACTATCATATTATATGAAGGATTTGTAGTCGGACTCTTCAAACCTTATAAATGATTTACTCTTATGTGCCTTGTGATTTGTAATTGTAAGCCATGTATTATAGTCTAAAAGGTGATGGATAATGACAATTTTAGTAGTTGTATATAAAGATCTCCACTGCAGGTCTATCACTATCACTATTTTGTAAAGTTTCTTTTTTTGGTTGGTCATCCCTACTCGTTTATTAGACCAATAAAATTATTATCAGTAAATCATTGGTTATAAAGTCCCCATTTATGTGTAAATTGCACCGATTGTATTATAAACTGAGAAAGCCCTATGGTGAGTTGTTATTTCATCGTCTAACATGACATAATTAAAGTCCTTACTATTGATCATGGTTCCTTAATTTGATTACCCAATATTTCAAGTTGTTCTCATAACTTTCTTTATATTGAAAATATAATGTATAATAAATATCATCGAATATCTATGAGAAATACCATATTGATTATGGATCCACAGGTCTATTATATAAGGAGAACAAAAAAGAGATAATTTAAATACTTGGTCGCCATAAAAACCAAATGCCACCTCTCATTCCCTCTGAACTATATGTCATCGCATTAGGAAACCCTAATTCTTGAAGTTGTTTTATGACTTTTGAATCTTCTAACTTTAGCTCTAAAATAAAAATATAGTTAATATTATTATCATATACTTTATTAATTGTAAAGTATGGATAACTCTATACAAATAGTAATTAATGTATTCATTATGAGCGAAAAGGTGATTATCTCATATTTGAAACTTGTGAGTCAATCTCTACATGTGTGGATGGCACTAACGTTGACTGAATAGAACCCGAGATACAATATATATATATATATATATAATTTAATAACAAGAAAATGATGGAGGATTGATGTCACTCTCTAATATACAAATGAAATAATTTGGGCTTTAGCCTCGTTAGTAATCGAATAGCTAAAAGAGGAAAGTCTTGTAAATAATATTTGTATTAGATGTGATGTCATGCACAAATGGGGGCTCAACTCATTTCCTTTATTAGTTTGTGGCAATTTAGATGGGAATGATGATGGAAGGATTGAGGGAGGGGATCTAATCTACGGATTGACATACCTAGTGAAGGTTTCCAAATAGTAAATTTTTAAGTAATTACCTTGAAGAAAATTATTTTTGTCGATATTGAATAACTACTAAGGTAATAGTTTTTATTAAATATAAGATTGTGGAAAATAGTTTTTATTAAATGTTTTATAAAAAGATTTTTTGTCCATTTAGTTTGGACCAAGACCGGATAAGAAAAATTTGGTCTATACCATATTGGACCAAACCTTAT